AGAGGGAGATTTTTTTTATTCAGGGATATTTTAGTCTTTTAATATGTAGATATGCAGATTAAATATTAAATAATATAAGAATTCTATATACATACCAAACACACATATGTAATCCAATTCTGTTCCAATTCTAATTCTGATTCCGATTTCATCAAAAATTCTTTCATCATACCAAACGAGGCCTAAATGATCTAAAGGCTATAGTTTAAAAAAAATTCCAACCATTAAATTCAAAAGGAGCTAATGAGAAAAAAATAAAAAGGAAAGTGTAAAAGTTCTCTAATTTTTCTTGATTAGAAATGACCATTGCGCCCTTAATGAACCTTGATAATTCCTTCCTTGTCTTGTTTCTTCATAGCCATTGGATGCCCTTTCAATTTTCAAAATTAAATCTTTACCATTGAACTTTATTAATTTTTTTTATTGCCTAAAAAAATCAAATGCACCCATTAATGTATGTTATATCCAAAATAAATTCATGTTTCATAAAATATTTTTAAATTAATTTTTTTAGCAATTATAATTTTCCACAAAATGGCTAAAAATTCAAATAATGTATAATAATTTAAATTAAGCTTAATTAATGATTTGAAAAATTAATCCATGTTAAAAATAGAAAATAAAATATTCACAATTGAGCCCAAAATTTCTATAATTAATTCAAAAATATATTATTCCTCAAAATTAGCTAATAATCTAAATAATATCTACAAACCTCAAATTAGCCTAAAATCATCATTAAAATACATGAAAAAGGTGGGATAAAATATATAAGATTTATGATTCATCACCAGCTCCTTTTCACCAACTTTTCTATTTTTTTCATAAAAAGATTAATAATGACATTTGAAGAGTTTTGGTGTTTTTATTGCCATTCATTTTTAAGAATATGATCATTATATTATATAAATTAAAATCATTTAATAACAAATAAAATATTACCTTTTTTAACTTTTTATATTGTTAAACCTTTATATAGAATGGGTATTTATTCTGTTTATTCTTAATTTTTAATTAAGTCTAGCGTGGATAATAATCAAATAATTACTTAAAGATATTTTTTTTATTTATTACATTTATCTAGTAGTAGAGTCAAGAACTCATACATGCCCAAAATTTTTTAAAATTAATTTTAATTTATATTTTTCTTTAAAATTAATTATCTTATTTTATAAAAAGTATAAAATATATTGTTTTGGACACTTAAGTCTCAAACAATGTATAAGACTCAAAACTTTTTTTAAAAAGATAAGTGAGTCTTAAAATATAAAAATCAATATTGAAATATATTTTGAATATTATTTTGAGATATTTTATTGATAAAAATAATGAAAATATGAAAATATAAATATTTTAACTTTTTTAAAAATAATTATAGTAATACACTCAAACATATGGTATTTCAGTCTAAAATGACAAAAAACTTAAAGAATTAATTAATATTTACTATATTTTATATGTTTTTTAAAAATATTTTTTATTCAGATATTCGGGCTAAGCCCAAACCCAATCTGGTTTTGCCCAAAATTTTTGGGCCAACTTGAACATCAAATTTTTTTTTTTTCTTTATCTCAAATTACTAGCTCTAACACCTTCCCACATGGTACTCTTGTCAAACCTTCCTACAGATTGCTTATAACATTTCTTCCTCTTTCTTCTCTTTTTCTTTTTCTCGTGTAGTGTCTAACAAATTCCCCTTCTTTTCTATTTGTTCCCTCAAGTGATATTTCTCTTCTATCATGTTTTGATTCATTTTTTGGATACTTTCTCCCTATTACAAATTTATTATTAGTAAATAGGTGATTGTTTTGATGCTCTACAGTTCATTTACAGATGAGTTTCATGTTTCATCATGCCTTCATTCTTCTTTTTCTTCAACAATACACGTCTATTACATTGCTATAAGTTTTTTGTTACATCGCAAATCAATCCTCTCTATTTTTATTTCCATAAATCCATCTTATATTTATAATTTTTTTAATTCTTAACTGTCTCATGAGATCTAAAGAATTACTTCTTCATCTCTTACTCAAAATAGATTTGAAAGTTAGCCCTTATCGATAAGGGAATTTTTTTTATCATTATCGTTTTGTGTTTATCTTGAAGGCATGTCAATTTTCAAGTTTTATACATTGTGCACATTTTGTTCCATAATAGAGTTTTTTTGCTAGCACGCACTCTCTATGTTGCATTTCATTTTTCTCCTTTTTCATGTTGCTACTTTCAAGCATGCTTATTAGATGAGATTTATTGCTTTGTATTGTCTTCAATGTTTTTAGTATTTGCCAACAATAAATCTACAATGGGAAGGGATCATTAGAAAAAAAACATAATGTTAATTAAACACATTTTGCTTTGTATTAAAAAGTTACTTAAATAACCTATCAATTACTTCATTTGATTTTATTCATAGATCTCTTTAATTCATGTTTTTATGTCACCTCTTCAATTCTGGGAGATAGGGAATGATTGTTCTCATGTATTAGCAAACATGTTCATCTATGTTGTTACAATTGTGTCCACCATTTTCTTTGAAATTCGACCAAGTAATTTATTTGAGTCAAATCAATTTTATCATTGTAAACTAAAGTAACAATATCTTTTCATTTTTTAACATGTTGTTTATGAGATAAATCCTTATAGATATTAAGTAAATCTCATTATTTATTTAAATTATTTTTAAAATTTTCATACCCCATACATAGCACAAGCCATATACTAGTTCATGGAAACAATATTTCACAATCCATTAGCAATAAAAAAGTCTACCTAAGAAAATGAATTTGATATCTCTTGAGACTTTTTTTGGAAAATTGTTAAGCAAAAAATCCCTGACCATTGGTCTACAATACTGTTGGAATCTAAGGATCAAGAAAGTGAATGTGATCCTTGATTGCATCAATGCTATCAACATGATCATGAGAGACTCGCCACAAAATTATGCTTTTTAGGATACTATTCAAGAAGCTAGACTAATTTTAGGAAGAGATTGTTCTGTTATTTAAATTTTGTTCTAAGGGATTATGTTAGAAACAATAATGTGCTTGCTAGGTCAGCTCAAAAAATAAGCATTTCTTCAACCATCCTCCATCGTTCATTAGAGAAAGAGAAGAAAAGAGAGGAAGGGAGAAGAAATGATTCTGTTGTTGTATTTTAACCTCTAGAACTTTTATTATGAATGAATAACCTTTTATCCCAAAAAAATCCCTGACTATAAAAACCAAGGACCTATATATCAAATTTATATCATGTAAAGACTAAATAATTTGATATTTACTCTGCAATCCTCTAGCAACTCTTTGACATTAATTTTGTAAGCAAAATGACAAAATTGCCTCTAAGTTTAAAATAATAAAAAAACCTTGTACTAGAACCCTCACAGCTCACCCTACCCCATATCTTAGACAAGTCACCCCACGATGCCCCCATCAAGGTAACGATTGGAGGCAACTTCTTCTCAACTTCTTAAGTCAAAATTGCTTTTCTTATCTGTGTATGACATTGTGAGGTCATTCTTTGATAGCATTATTAGTAGTCAAAGGTCAAATGTCAAAGGTTGCACGATAGATCATTCTTAACTGTTAAAGGTAATCATACTCAGCATTGTTGGAGGTCAAGAAGGCTGGTCAATAAATGATAAGATGGATTTCATTTTTCTATAGGTATTCATTGTCATTTACCTTTATCTTAATCAAAACAATGTAGTTCAGCGATTTCTAGGTGTTATTTCAATATATGTGCTAAGTTATGTCATTTATGTGTTTGCTGACTATTGCTTTGTAGCCATGATAACAACTTTCATTCGTGAATTATCAAGCTCCCTTATTATATTGACAAGATGAGGGTAAAATAATAAAAACTTAAACTCAAATTAGAACATTCACAAGTAATCATGGGGAAATAATAAGAGCCTTTGGTGTTTTGACAAGCGTATGATTGTATAACAACTTTCAATTATCAATTAGCAAGTCCACTTCTTTTATTGACAAGAGTAAGGTAGAATATAATGAAAACTTGGGCTCAAATAAGGCCTTGTACTATATTAACAAGTAACCATGGGAAATAACAAGAGCCATTAGTTTTTCGACAAGTGTATGATTAAGTAACAACTTTCATTCATGCATTAACAAGTTCCCTTGTTGTATTGACAAGATGTAGATAGAGTAACACTTAGACTCAAAACAAGACCCTTTAAAATATTCACAAGTAACCATAGGGAAATAATAAAAGCCTTGGGTGTTTTGACAAGCGTATGATTAAATAACAACTTTCAATCGTCAATTAACAAGTCCTTTTACTATATTGACAAGTAGCCGTGGGGAAAAATCAAGAGTCCTTAGGGTTTGGAAAAGTGTTCCATTGAGTAACAACTTTACTGATGAATTTACAAGATCCCTTATATTATTGACAAGAGTAAGATAGTGTATAATGATAAAGGTTTTTATAAGTCCTTTTACTATAGGGAAATAATAAGAGTCTTTAGTGTTTGATAAGTGAATAATTGATTCACAACTTCCATTCTTAAATGAACAAGTCATGTTATTTTATTAATAAGAGCAGGGTAGAATCTGATGAAATTGGGCTCCAACAAGTCCTCTTATTACATTGACAAGTATTTATGTGGAAATATTAATAGGTTGTATTGTTTTGACAAGTATATGGATGATTTGACATTTTCTAAAATGTGATTATTATTAATATGTATAGTGGGATGAAAATGGTTGACCAAAAAGGATAGAAGAGGAAACATGTAACATCCTGATTTTTATATAATAAAGAAATTGTGGAATTTAGGTTTTGAGGAAAAAAATGATAATAATAGGAATTTATATTATTTGAGGTTATTTAGAAATAATATTATGATTAGGTATTTAATTATGAATTTAAAATTTAAATTTAAAACCACATAAGCAATATTTAGTTAAGATATAATACATAAATAATTTTTTTTTATGTGTGTGTTAAAAAAAAGAGAAGGTAGAAGGAACAAAAAAAAAGGGGGGGTGGAAGGTTGTTGTTTCTAAGTCCCACATTGGTTAGATGAGGGAAGAGAAGAGGTGCCTTCATGTATAAAAAGGAGGGGGTGTGTGCATTAGGAAGCATGAGAGGCTAAGATGCAATTTAGAGAAAATTGCAACTTTGGGCCCAAAGGTTTGAATAATTAAATTCAAACCTATAGTTTTTTTTTTATATAATTTTGGGACTCACAATCCCATTTTTATATTATTTTTCTCTCTTCCTCTCACGTTGCTCGGCGTTTTCTCGCAAGGGGGGGATTATTTTCTTTTTTCTTCAGGTATGTTCTAACTTTCCTGTTTAGATTAGCATTTAAAAATTTATTTAATTACAAAATTAATTTTATAGTTATTTTTTAAATAATATTAGCTTTCTAATGATATGATTATTTTGAAGGATAGAGTAAATATTTTGATTAGGATTTTTTCTATAGGATAGTAAATCTGATGATATGATGGATTAAAAATATAGGTTAAAACTCTTAGGGATATAATAAATATTATAGAATATTTTCTTGAGGTTGAAACTCATGTTTAAGAATTTTTGAGTTAAAATCTAGATCTATATGGTTGAATTTATGTGGAATCTGAGATGTAGGGATAAACCTATGATTATTAAATATTTATTTAAGTATGAATAGGTATTTTTGAGGTTATAGAAAGGTGATTTGAGGCTTCAGGATAATTTTAAAAATTTAATTTATTTTTGGACGAATTTTTAGAATATAGAAGGATGAAATTGTGATACTAGAAGTGATTTGAGGATAAAAAAAATAGTTTATTAGGATACGAGAATTTTAGAAAAGAATTTGGGAAGTTAAATGAGGCATAAATCTTAAATTAGTGTTAATATGGATTATAGATCTAAGACTTTCTAACTATTTAAATTAGAGTTATTTATTTTAATGTAAAATTAATATATAGTATTGTGAAATAATTATGTAGATTATATTGACAAAGATAGTGGTGAAAAAGGAGTTGTGAAGGGGAACTTGTTATTCAAGACACAAGGTAACCATTATTAATGTGTTGTGATGAGTGTGTTTGTGAATGGTTATGTGTTGTTTTGTTGTTTGGAAAAATTATGAATTATTGAAAATAAATACTGTATATACTTGTTTGAAATTATTGCCAAGTGGGTTAAAAATTTATTTTTGTTTATCATGATGAGATATTATTGTTCGGATATATTCCTGTTTGGATATTTGAATGATGCATGACTTGTCAGGGTATTTTAATGTATGGTGTTAATGGGAATTTCTGTTCGGTTAATTATTACCACGTGGTAAGCCCTCATTGGACCCAATGAGTGGCGTGTCGCTTGGTCCAACTCAACTTTGGCCGGGTGATTTGGCGTCCGAGCATGGTGAAAGGAGGATATAAGGTGCAGTCATGCAATTAAATACTTGTTCGGTTTGTTTGAAAATATTGTTCGGTTAAATGTTTTGTGTGCCCACTTAGCAATCGCATGATTAGTTACATCCGCATGCATCATTACATATTAATTTTTGGTTACTGAGACTTTTAAGTCTCATTCCCCGTGGTTAATATTTTTACAGGAGCGAATCCGGCCGAGAAAGCACCAGAGGTGTAATTATGGTGTATGAGACACCATCTTTTACGTTGCCTCTTATTTTGGATTATACAATGTATCTTGTGCCAACTTAGGACATATCTTGTCTATGGAGCATGTAAACTCTAATCCTTTTTATTAAATGCATTTATATGTCCAAGAGGATTATGTCTGTCCCTTTTGATTCATGACCTAATTTAAATAACATGCTATGAGGATCATGTCTGTCCCTCATGGTTCTAATTGCTTTTTGAGATATTTTAAGACCTGTGGTATATTGTCTTGGATGTATCATGGTAGAAATTTTTCTACCATGATAAGGGTATGATAAGGGTTCAATGAAAAAAAAAATGATTTCTTGAATTAATAACTTGCGAAAAATTGGTTTGTAAATTTGAGGGTGTTACATAAGTGGTTCAATGGTACCAGACTTCGCCTCAACTTCATTAAGGTGGTAGAGGTTGGAGGTTCGAGTCTGGGGAGGTTCCAAAAGACCCTGGAGAGGCAGTGGTGAGGAATAACCACAGTACCACCTGTGGGAAAGTCGGCTTTGGTCCAGTGATGGGCCAGAGTCCAGTACCGAGTCGAGGCCCAAGGGGTGGCTCCGTGCTGTTACATAAAAGGCGCCTTTTATGTAACAGCACGGAGCCACCCCTTGGGCCTCGACTCGGTACTGGACTCTGGCCCATCACTGGACCAAAGCCGACTTTCCCACAGGTGGTACTGTGGTTATTCCTCACCACTGCCTCTCCAGGGTCTTTTGGAACCTCCCCAGACTCGAACCTCCAACCTCTACCACCTTAACGAAGTTGAGGTGAAGTCTGGTACCATTGGGTCAACTTGACTCAATGGTACCAGACTTCGCCTCAACTTCGTTAAGGTGGTAGAGGTTGGAGGTTCGAGTCTGGGGAGGTTCCAAAAGACCCTGGAGAGGCAGTGGTGAGGAATAACCACAGTACCACCTGTGGGAAAGTCGGCTTTGGTCCAGTGATGGGCCAGAGTCCAGTACCGAGTCGAGGCCCAAGGGGTGGCTCCGTGCTGTTACAAAACACTTGACTAGATTTAAGCAATTCAAGAAAGAATTTCATGAGAATACAAGTCCTTTTAAGTGTAATGGATGTTGTTGGAGAGGCATGGAAGAAGTTGAGTAGAGAATAAAGGACCAATACAAAATAAAAGCCCTCAAGTCAAGAGGTGAAAGCAACTACAAGAAGTATATTGTACCATTTTACACTAGATGTCATCAAGCAAGTTCAAGAAAGTTGCTCAATTTGTGAAAAACAATGACAGGTTAAGGGATAGGGTGAACAAAATTAGTTTTGGGATATTATTGGATATAGGTTGCAAGAGAATACCTCGAAAGCTTGTTAGAGAGCCAATTTGTACTTATGACTTACCGACAAAAAATATTACAATTAAAGGGAAGACTATTAAAATCATTCCTTTAAATGTTGAACTTTTGATGGAGTTAACCAATGAAGGGAAAGAAGTGAAAATGAAAACTAACAAGGAGATCATTGATAAATTAAAGAGACACTATTGCCCATTATCTTTCATTGAAATAAAGGAGAAGATCATGTCTATGAAAGATGATAATTCTTTGGAGTTTTTTTATATTATATATACTTGGAACCTTGTTATGTCCTACTGTTAGTGTTGTTGTTACTGAAAAGCTATTAAAAGTGATGAGTTACACAAACAATGCATGGGGATGAGGAAAGTTTAACTGGGTATGACTTGTCTTGAATGAGCTTATAATAGAGATTCAAGAGTACGAACAACTTATTAAGAAGGGAAAGTTTCAAGGATCAAAAAATATTAGCGGCTACATGTTTTTCTTATTGGTATAGAGTTGTTAACAATTCATTTTATTATTTTGATGACTAATTAGAAGATATGTAGATTGAAACATTGGATGCTTGCTTTTTGTAGATTTTTTTCTTTAAAATTTTCCTTCAATTAAAGGTGGTCCATCCTCAAGTAATGCTCTCAAGCATTGAAATGAGCAAAGAGTGATCAAAAAAGTAGATCTAAAGAAGAAGAGCTATCATGGGACCTTTTATACTATAGCCACTAGTCAAGAAATTAGTCCTACAAAGTTACCACCATTTATAACATTTCATCACCAGGTTAATATGGTAGAATTAATTTAATTCAATACCGTTGATATGCATTATCTTATACGTTGTGTGTTGTGTGAGAGATAAAAGACATTTATGTGAGAGTAAATACTTTTTTCACCTAAAAATGAAGGAAATACAAATTTATGTTGTTGAGGAGTTTCTAAAGCTTCAAGGGAAGATGGTTGGTATAGAAGATCTAGATGAGAATAAGGAAGCCAAGGAAGAAAAGGAAGAGGCAAAAGAGGAGGTAAGGATGAAGAAAAGAATAAGGAAGTTATTGAGCAAGATAGTAAAGAAGCAGACAAAGAGGAAATAAAAAAAGTAAGTTGAAGTAGAAAGTTCAGAAGAGATTAAAGAAGATGATGAAGAGGAAGAGGGAGAGGGAGAGGGAGGAAGAGCATAATTTAGATGCGGTGGATGAAGAAGAAGACACACAACATACAAAAAATCAGAGAGCAAAGTCAAGGATCCAATGAGAAGATCGAACATGGTAAAAAAAAGCCTTGCATTAGATCTCTACAGTTGGCATTTGTTAGCCAGAAGAGGAAAGTCAGTGAAAAGGAACTGATGTATTCATTATGCTTAGAATTTTATCAAAGAGATAAAGGTCAATAGTAAGTAATCTTATCCTTACTCTTAGCTATCCACATTGGCCAATAAATGAAGGCTGATATGAAGTAGTAAGTCTATGTTCTGCTTTGTGTATGCAGGGTGTTTGTTCAAATGTTTGGATATCACCTTACACGGGGTGAACTTTAATTCCTCGATCCTTACCAATGGCTCAGTAACAAAGTATGTTTAACACCTATTTAAATGAAACATGATTTATCACATAAGATTTGTAAGGTGATGTGTTTACTATGTATAGATCATATTAGTAGTAGCAATGACATTAGTTGCTGAGCTAAAGGACTAAACTTTTAAGGTGAAGTGACATATATTTGACTCAAAGTTTATGGTTAGTAACAGTCTATTAGTATAAAATTTAACTATAGTGAAGTGGTTTATATTTGTTGACGATACTCTATTTGTATAAGAGATCATGATAGAGAATTTAAAAGCTTAGACTTTGACCAACCACCTTAATAAAATAAATCTAGAGAGTATTGGTTATAACATAAGAGACTGTGATTATATTTTTGCACCAATTATTATGGCCAACCATTAGTTTTGCTTTGTGATGGATCCAAGAACCCTTGAATTTTATGTCTTAGATTTACTGAAGAAGGGTAAAAAAAACAAGAAGATCTAAGAACCTATGGGCAGGAAATGATGGGTATTGCTTTTATATGTGTTTCTTCATTTGTTAGTGACAATATTTTTTTGTTATTGAAGAGTTGTGACTTAATGGTAAGATGTTACTTTATGCAGAGGAACAATTTCATTGAAATCTTAAGGCATATTATGTAACATCCGAGAAATTTAAACCTAATTAACTAAGCTTAATTAGAGTAATTAAATTTATTGATGTGGTATGTAGTCAAAGAGGTCTAAAAAGTGTGTTTGATTGTGATTTCAGCCTTAAATGTAGGTTCTAAGTAAAGTCAAGCCATTTGGGCATCAAAAGGTGAGAAAGCCTAAGAAAGGAGCCTCTATGCCATATGTGAAATATCTCCTCTACTAAACACTATTAACACTCCGAATCTATAGTGATCAAGAGTTTAACTTATAAAGAGATTATCAAGTTTATGTTTTAAAATAAAGGGATTTTAAGTTTTTATAGTTTTAAATTAGTCTAAACCAAGCATTTGATCTTTAATTAAAGAAGTTACAAAAGTATAAGATGCCTTAGAGGAGTGAAAGAAATTGAAACTAGTTGAAAAATATTAAATTTGCTAAAAAACAGAGCAATGCACTGTGGCTTGTTGCTCTTTATGTCGTGCGTCGCGAATCAAGCGCAAATGCACCATAGCTTGTTACACTTACACGCAAATGACAGCAATTCAAGCAACTTCTAACGTGTCCCAAATCTCCATCCAATGTCCGAATAACATGATCTAAATGTCTACGAAAAGCTCTTTTTATAAACTAGCTAATGGCATGAATTTTACTTTAAAAAAATCACACTATAAAATTAGATACTCAAACATATTTTTATCACTTTTCATAACTTTTTACCATGGGAGTTAGAATACTCTATATAACTAACCTTTGTTCAGCATTAGGTGCTACCACTATTTGAGGAGGAGACAGTGAGTTTAACCAATCCAAATCAATATCCCACTCACTGAGAGAGAATGATATTCCTTCAGTATCTCTAAACACATAACCTAGCCTACATTCACAATTAAAGCCACACACGTTATGCACAATGCTAAATGTCAACCAATTAAAATTTACATAATTCAACTAAATTTAAATACTTACTCTTGAGAAAAATCACTTGGTGATGACTGTCTAATGTCATTTTTCCCTCACGCCAATATAAATGTGGTCACTGTTATCATTAAACTCAATTAGTTGAGCCACTCTAATGTCATCTATAAGATCTATCAATGTGGTTTCTTCCATCTTCATGATGTACTTCAAGTCCGTTTTCTTTATTCCAAGACACACCTTTAATAATATTAATCTTTTAAGTTCATCATATGTCATCCCATCTCTAATAATTCTAGCAATTACATTACCTTCCTCATATTTCACAATATTCTATTCACTTGTCTTAACATAATCTCCCCCATGATGAAAAAAATAAAATAATTTCTATCATTTAATGCTTGCCATTAATTATGCCACCTTGAAACCTTAGATTAATTTAGAAAAGTTACATGATATTAGTTATACAAAAATTCTCTCTGATTCTAGTTTAACAGTTAACAAACATATATTAACAACAAAGCATTGCTATTCTAACAACACAAAGTCCAACAGTTCCCAACTTCCAAGACTTCAAGCAAGCATATTCCAAAGCAACAATCATCTGATACATTTTATTTCTATCAGATATGCAAACTATTATTAAATATTACCCTTTACACACACATGACATGTAACTTTATACACCCGACAATGAAGAACATGGGATATAGAGTCTAAAAAAGAGTTGCATTAATTAGCTCAATGACAACACACATTTTGAACATTCGGATATGCTCACCTTACTCTTTCCACAACCTCCACGTCCTATAATATTCACACCATAACATTACCCATGAGTAAGAATAACGTGTTGTATAAGAATATTCATGGAGACAATAATGTAACACAACAATGGATGATTTCAATTTTTTTTTCATTTACTAGCTGTCTCTACTTCATTTACAGAGCTAGTTAAGAGAGAAGGAAAATATTTTAGCTTCGATTCTAAAGTTTCTTTTGGTCAGGAACAAGTTTTTCTTTTATTCTGTAGGGTAAATCTGTCATTTTGCTTATAAAATTAATAACAACAAAGTACCAGAGGGCCACAAAGTAAATACCAAATCATTTGGTCTTTACATAATATAAATTTAACACATAAATTCTTGATTGCTATTTTTCTCAAATTTAATTATGCTAAAATACATGTGATCTATTTTAAAAAGAGGTCCTATCAATGATCATTGAAAGTTAAATGACATAACTGTCTTCACAAATTAAAAAAAAAAGTATCCATCCCAAATAAAAGTGGTTGCATCTTTTCTAAGATGCATAATACATTATAATTTTTTAGCAAAATCAGTAGCATAACAAATCAAACAAAATGTTTAATTAAAATTAGAAAGCAAACATGATGTTTAAATAATAGGAAAGAACAGTGAGAAAATGTTGTCAAAAGGACGTTGGAGGATGAATCAACATTGCCTTATATCTCCATCATAATTTCTGTATTGCAAAAACGACTCCTTGTCACTTAGAAACCAAAATCACGATTTTTTATCACCAAGTGAGAGAAATTTTTTTAACATTAATTTTTTTCTCTTTAATTTTGAATCAGCGTTGTCCTAGTTTCCTCTATCTCCCAATTCTATCCCCTTCCATTTCTGTGCTACAAAAAATATCATTACAGCTATAGGTGTATTTGCCTGTTCAACTGCACACCAAAACAAATATTAAAAGGACTGTTATAAAGGGGAGAGGGGTGTCCTACTCTCAATTTCACTCCATTTTTTTATCATTATCGCTAGATCAAAGCTTTTTAACAGTTAATATTTAAAAAAATTATTATTTTAATATAATATAAAATATATAAATAAAATGTTATAATTGTATACAGTTTAGATTAAAGTTTAATAGTTTAAATTTATTTACATAATTTTGTGTAAAATTAAAATAATAATTTTATTAAATGAGAAAATAAAGAACACCGGAAGAGGAGATGCCCATTTCCCGCTACAAACCCATGATTACACCTCTTTGGTTGCTTTATAATATGAAGTATTCGGTATCGTTTTCGTATCGTTCGAAGTGTTTGGTATTGCTAAAAGAACACACGTGCTAAAACTGTAATGACCCAATCCAATTGAGTTCATGTTTTGATGGATCGAGTCGTTGGATGGGCCCAATACAACCTTGATGCATTTTTCTCAGAGAAACGTCCCTGCTAGGTTCTCTCTTCATAAAGCAACACTCTACCGCTTGAAACAGCAACGCGGCACCATGCGTAGCAAATGTGACACTATAAATTAAGGCCCTATTTGGTATGTGACATCAAGGACATGGATTGGGATTGGATTTGGATAATACCACTCTTAACATATTTGGTATGAAGCATTTTGCAATCCTTGAGACTCCTTAGTACCACTTAGGTGAGAATACTCAAACCCACTACTCCTTTGGTACTAAAAATCTAACTTAGGATTAAAAAATTTTTGATTGAAATGCCCCCATGAAAACACCCAAATTTTCTCCTCAGTCAACGAATCTCGACCTTTACCTTCCTTCTCCTAAGTTGACAACTCCAACCCTCCATCTTCCTTCTCATGCTTCGACGACCCTCGACCTCCATCTTCCTTCTCCTTCGTCGACGACTCCAACCCTCCATCTTCCTTCTCCTGCTTCGATAACCTCTGACCCTCCAGCTTCCTTCTCTTATCTTGACGATCTCCGGCCTCTACCTTCCTTCTCCTCCATCAACAACCTTCGCCAATGCCATCCCCCTAGTGTCGTCCTCACTTCTCAGATCTGCGAATTGGGAGGGTGAGATAGAAGCAATGAGTTCAGATGATCAATCATATATGAGAAGGTGAAAGGGCAAGTGGGTATTTGAGTCTTTTCCCTAGTTTTTTTTTTAATCCTAGTCTTATTTTTTTTAATCCCATGACATACTAAATATGATTTTAAAATTTATTCCTATTATCAATCCCATTCTCATTCTCATTCTTAATACCACAAAATTCAATACTTGATACCAAACAGGGCCTAAGTGTTCAAAAGCCATGAGACAATGTCACTGGGATTGGACGTGACTTTTGAAGGCCTGTCCAAATTTTTTTTTTTTTTTGGTGGCCAACGGAGGGTCTGTTGAGTTAGCAACTTGATCATGTGTCACGGCATATCGAATCGGCCCCGTGCAACACCATCAATATGCTGCAGCTGGTTTGAGTGCAAGCGGATGCGTGATTCATTTAGCTCTCTGGTATCCTAAATTTGATCCTGCTGTAAAACCTGTTTTTCTTTTTTGGGAAGCATTTCAGAAATGTAGCTTATCAACAAATCACGCCCAACAAAATTTGAAATTATTCTGTAAGACTAAGAAACTAAATTGAAATTAATTTTTATAGGATTTTTTTCTTTTTCCATTTTTTTTGGGCTCCAAGAACGTATTGCTTTAAAATGTTACATGTGATTTATATTTCCTCTATTTTCCACCATTCATCCATTTCAACTCCGAGGCATTTGTTTCAATATATATGTATATATATACATATATTGTCCCTGTGTCATTGCTTGTAAACTTCCAAAAGTTGTTAAAAACAGGAAAAAAAAATGAAGCTTCTAATGAATCAAAGACTCGTTTAAATAATTCCTAAAAGCATATTCAAACCACATCTAAAATGTTTTTAATAAATTTAATAAATAATTAAATTCTCTGAATATACTTTTATGGTATATAAACCGAAAATCAACACACATTCCAAGTGTTCTGTTTTGGTAGCGTTTAATGAAGAAGGTTCCTAGTGAATGAACTAATTACTTCATGGCGTTTATCGGTCGCATCAAAGAAAGCCAAATTCAACCTAGCACAAAAGCTTTTACTTCAGAATGGAGCAACGCGAATGGAGCGCTTCCTTCATTTTCTTCTATTCTTTTTCTGAGGCCATTGCTAAAATATCATTAATATCAAAGTTTAATTTTGTCCCGGTCTGGGGAAAAAAAAATTCTAGGTGAAACATTGACGACGAACTTGATGCAAGATGAAAGGCAAGAAAGTTATATAAAATCGGGAACGACGAAAGAAATTACACGCTAACAAGAAAGAAAATCGCAAGCAGCCATGACAATATTTCGTACAACATTTTTTTAATCTATCCATCGAGGCGTGGCAGTCCAGACGACCGAAAAAGAAGTCTGAGCTCTGAATCTCCTATCTTTGGCACCACCTACCAAGTACTACGGCCAAGTTTTTGCTAGTTTCACGGACTTCAGCTTAATACATGAACAACTTTTCAACCTTCAAGCCTCTTTCTCCCCCCCACTCCAAGTTTCTACTTCTCTTGGCTATGAAATTGTCAAAAATGTGAAAATTACTCGTTCGTGTTCTATAATACCACCAGGTTTTTCTGGCCAAAATTTTCAAGCAAGATTCCAGGAAGTTGCGTGAAACACCATAAATTCAAAACGATCAACAGTATCCTAAATTTTCAGTAGTAAAGAAATAAAGGAGATGAAAATTCTATTTACATCTTCAAAGTTTCATGTTTCCTCCTCCCCACCTCAATTTCATATGCCAGTTCCATTGTATGAGCAAGCCAATTGCAATCACCAAAGAAATGAAGCCCCAAATTAAAGTCCAAGACCGACGGGACAAGCAACAAAGAGAAATGATGAAAAGCTTTGCAACGCTTAAAAAAAATCCAAGTAGGATCTCTCTTCTCGTCATGACCCTCGTTCCTCGGAGAGAGAGAGAGAAAGCAGACAAGGTACTGTTTATGCGAGGCTCTTGGCTCTGCCTCTTCTTCTTCTTCACCCTTACTTTGGCTACCCGTTTTTCCTGGAATATTGCAGAAGAATACCCTATGTTGTCACTCTTTAGATTAGTTCTACTTAACTAAGCGCAGCAACTGTGCCTGCACGAAAGGAGTAATCCTGAGCCTTGCTTGTGGAGGTAGATCTATTTTGATCCTTCTTCCTCAAAGCCTTCATGGATGAAGAAAGGTTCCTATTCTTCTCATTCGCTTCATCTGATTCTATTTGTTCTTGCCTGCATTCTTGGCTACAAAAAGGAATGTCCCCTCTGCAGAAATTTAACAAACTGCCATCAGAACCATATAATGAAATTGAAATCGAAATTGAAACCTAATCCCAACCCAGAAACTCCAGATGGTCAAGATAAAAAATAAAGATGAATTCCCAATCAATGTCAGACAGAATCTCTAACAGAACGATCTCAAATTTTAAGCATAGAGGAAATGAGAATAATTTATGGACTTTTTTGTTTTTCTGTTCTTGCGATGGAATTATAAATCATAAATTACAGCACACCAAAACAAGGTTATAAATAACGAAGACTCTGGGTCGCAAACCTGTACATGAAGATGTCTCGATTATCCCCAAGGGGTTTCTTGCAGAGAAACAGGCTTCAAGGAAATAGGGCTGGTGATCTTCAAATCTGGCGTCGTAGAACCTCCCAGATCTTGGGCAAGAAACCGAACTTGAAGTGGTTCTATAGAAGGAGGCGGCATAACAAATGGACCTCGACGCAAGCGTGTTGGTAACTGTGGCAGTGTGTACCATAGCCAGAATAGCCAGCTTCCATGCCGAAGCGGAAGGCAAACCATGGTCCTCTCCAAGAGAGAAGGTCTTTTAGTAGACTCCATGGGTTTAGCAGGATTTGCAATGGAGCGAAAGATATTTTTAGATTGTCGCTGTTCCGGGAGAGAAAGGAAAGTAGCGTGAAAGTAAGGAATGAAGAAGAGGGAAGCGATGGTTTATAAAGGGTAGGTGAATGGGGGAAGGCTTCATTGGCCATATCAGGAACGGAAAAATAAACAGCGGCGAGTTACGAGAATTCGTGAGAGTGATTCCATTGGCCCGAGCAAAATGCTGGCACCTGGAGGTTTACCAATTTATTAAATATTAAAAAAAATAATCTATAAGAAGATCAAATTATTAAAAAGATAAAAAAAATAATAATATAGGTTATGAGAACCTAAATGTATCAATAACAATAAAAGAGAAGCAAAACAAAAAATCAAAGAATCTATGTTATAACTAAAGACACATGAGATTAAAAATCTTATTAAAAAGTCCACAAAAACCTCTAACTATGGCAAATTATTTAAAGAGGACAAGATCTAAAGGAGATTGATAGATTATTATTGATAATTCATGAAAGCATCAAGTGAAGACAAGTAAAATTCTAAAAGTCTTGGATCGGTTGAAGTTGATCATTGTTTAAAAAAACAAAACAAAAGAAAGAAAGAAAGAAAGATCGCACATCTTGTTATTTTTTATATTATTTTACTTAATCATCAAATTATGTAATTATCTAATGGTAATTAAAATTATATATTAGTGTTGATTTATTATTTATTTGATGATTAATAAATTATAACAAATTAAATAAAATTAATGAGTGTTTTAATAATTATTAAATTTATTTCAAATTATTAATCGCATAATGAAGGTTCAAGAAGTTATCGCTGATTTTACTGAACAGTGAAAGTTACAATAAAGGTAGGTAAATAGAATTAGTGAGTGGCAATTTGTGGTTCTATGAGCATGAAATGGCTTTTGAATAATTGTGCGAGAGAAGAGTCAGTACTTCAATTCAAAATGGTAGGCCCATTTTTTAACCAACGACACTCGTCTCCCCTCTTTATGTCTTTTCCCTCTCTCTCCTCTGAGATCTACTCTGCGACGTCGGATTTGTGCCGGGCGAAGAAATGTATGGGCCCACGCTCCTACAAAGCGCGTCAACGTAACCGTTACACCGCCAGATCCGAGTCTGGTTTTCCCCGAACGGACTTACTAATGCCTGAGGGGACCACCCCTCATCACCCACTTCAAAAAAAAAAAAAGCTGTTTAGATGATTTTCAAAAGAGTTGTACTTCTTTCCTTTTCTCCTGTTTTTCTTTTTCAACTAGTTGTACTTGTTTTTCTTGAAATCAGGTGTCTGTACTTTTTTCGGTGTTCGGTGTATTTGTATTTTGTAGCATAATTTGTTATATATTCCTCCGGTGCCCCTCCCTGCCATTAGTATGTGCTAATATTCCGGTTGTTGCTGCTTTGTTCATAATGATACAAAGAAAACTCTTGCATTTCGAAGGAAAAAAAAAAAAAAAAAAGGCATACAAGCATCAGTTTTTCTATGAAAACAAATCATGCCCATCAAACCAATTGAACTAATCGAACCAAGCGAAGACCTAACATCATATCATCATTCATAATAACACTATAGATGAAAGAAATTAATAGCAGAAATTGGAAAAAAAAATAACTAAACCCTTCATCGTTCATAAAATATTATTTATTTTTTGATCTTAGATAAACAGGCTTCAAAAAATTTAGTTGAGATGCATGAGATGTACGGGGAGATCAGAAACGAATTTTTAGGGAGTAAGGATGGGGGTTCTTGCCTCCTATACACCACACAGTTTTTTAGTAAAAAATTTATTTTTAAAAAAATAATTTAAACTAAATTTTAACCTTCCCATTTCTTATTTTATTTTTAGTTTGATCTCAGAATCATGACACTCTAGATCCTTGCCCGCGTTTCGGGTGTTTCTTTTTCTTTTTTCTTTTCTTTTCTTTTTGGGTTGGGGGGGTCGTTTTGAGGTCAAAATCAGCATCATAGCCTTCGAAAGGGTCCGCATGGTACAGGAACAATCGTTACATTCAAAGATGCCCCAACTTTCCCGCTCCAAAACCCACGGTTTCCCTTTTTTTCCCAAAACCTTGTTTCTCACTCCAAAGCTATGACGTCATTATTCTGCATAGCTTTTCTTCAGATTCTCTCGTCGTTTTGTTCGCGGTTGGCCCACCCCACTGTACAGGTGGGACCATGCCTCGAAACATAGACGCGGTCGGGCCCACGTTAACTGACACGACGTGGTGGGGTGGTGGTGGTGATGTGATGGAGGAAGGGGTCTCTGTCTTGTACTCTTGTTAACTGTTCAGTAATAAAAAAATCAATTTTTTAAATTATATAAATAATAATTTAATTTTTTAAAATATCATAATTTTTAAAAAATTTTTAAAATTTTTCATCATTAATCAATTTATATAAATAATTAAATTATTTTTATTAAAAAAATTTTAATATAACAGTAAATATTAAAAAACAAGTAATGATAATAAATTTATTTAAATAATTATAATTTTTTTTTTATATTTATAATAATATAATAAAATATCAAAATTTTATATATTTAATTTTTGATATTATTATGAGTATTAACAATAATAAACAATGATTATAAGTTTTATTTAAATGATTAAAATTTTATTTTTTATATTTACAATAAATCATAAATTTATATATTAAATTTTTAATATTGTTATAATGATAATTTAATTATTTATATAAATTTATAAATAGCAGAAATATTTATAAAAGTTTTAATAAATCATGACGTTTTAAAAATTTAAATTATTATTTATATAATTTATAAAAACTGAATTGTATTTTTTTAATTTTATTAGCATACCTTTGCGATTTATTTATCATGCGCACGGAATCAGAGACCTCTGCCCGAGAACAATTGTTTCCTCCATACCAAGCTACCTCTGGCCCGTGACTCAGGCGTAACTGCCCCAACCCACCGCTACTGTCCCCATGGCGTACACGTGTGCTCTAGCACGAAGGCGGAAGCCTCCCACAACAACCAAAAAAAAAAAAAAAAACACTTTGTGTGAGAGAGTACTCCTCAATTCTATCATAAAATACATAAAAAAAATTATATTTTATGAATCAAGTTTTAATAAATTTTTATCAAATTTTTTTATCTTCTATTAAATATTAAAAAAATATATTATTAAATATATATTTAATAAAGATTGAATTGATAACTTATTATATTTTAAAATATAATAAATTATTATTAAAGTTTTATTTGATTTTAGTAAAATATGTTGAAAATGGTTCATGAATAAAATTAAAAAATATATTAGTCAGTTGCCACGTGGTAATAACCGACACTTGCGATTCCGTCTCTCGTCTCTTGCTTTAGTTTTGTATTCAATGACCAGTCTGATGCGCCGGTGAGGTGAAGATGATCCTCTGTTGCGAGGAATTTTTTACCCGAGCGACCCCTTCAATGGTTCACAAAACTCCATTTTCTTTAACGGCGAGATATTGATTAGTGATTTGGTTTCTTCTTTAAGATCGCCGTCTAATCTTAACTCTCTTGTCAGAACTTGCCATTGTTAAATTGAATAAATTATAATTCTATGCCTTGCCTCTTGAGGGTGAAACTGTGAAGTCCCGGAACAGAACATTTGTGAGTCCCTTGCTGGGACAGCAGCGCAGTACACCTGGAGCCTGGTTGCTTGGGAGGAAGAATTGCTCTAAACTCCTAACCAACATCCCAAAATACTTCTAAATCAATTCCCCACCCTCAGTGATCTTCGATTAATCCAAATTTTGGTTCGGTCAAATATATAAAAATCATTTTAAAAGTTAAATCGAGTTGAGCCATTTTGAACTGACAGTCGAATCAAAAACTAAATCTAATTTTTATAAATCAGACTGTTCAAAAGAACTTTATTTTTATTGAATTTTTTAAAAAATGATCAATTTTTTCAATCATTTAATATTATGTTGTATTATATGACGTATTAAGTAATAATAAATTTAAAATATTTATTTTTAAGTTAAGTAGCAATTTCGTGTTTATTTCTTATATTTATATTATTTTATTTATATATAATTTTTAATTTAATTATTATGTCAATAGTTTGATCATTAATCTAATTCAATTGAATCACGTGAACTGTAAACCATTAATTTTTTTGATTTAATATTCAGTTAAATTTTAAAAATATTATCTACCTTACCTTGTAATTGCCCACATGAGGGTGAATTATTGAAGGATGGGCATGGTAGATTTTGATCACAAACTCCCTTGGATTCCTATTCCTCGGCAAAGCGAGGAATTTTAATCTTGTCGAGTTAATGAAGCATACATAAATAAATAAATATATAGATATATATATATATATATATATATTATATTGTTCTAAACCAAAATATAAAGTATTACTAGCTAATTAATGGTTCTAAAAAAGTTAGTCGAAACTTTAATTTTTTATATTTTAAATTATATCCTTATTAAATATTTTATATACTCCTTGCTCAAAAAAATAAATTTTATATATTTTTTATTTAAAAATATAAGATATTTTTTGAAAAATTTAATATTAAAAAATAAAAAGTATTTTTTAAAGTATAATTATTACTTTTTTAAAATATTTCTATTAAATAAATCACTTTATATTTATTTTAAAGTAAAATATCCTATTAAATATAAGTGAATATGACAAGATAGGCATGAATTATCTCCTATTCCTTCCTAACTATTAAATCAAGATTTAGATGGTTTAAATTTGATTTTTTATAAAATTATTGTTAAAATATTGAATTATAAAATATAAATAATAAAATTCAAACTACTAAAAATTAATAAGAAGAATTTAAAAATACAATAAAGGTAAAATAAAATGAAATATTTTAAAGAAGATCAAATCTAAATCACTACAAATGTTAATCTAATGGTTATAAATTAAGAAAAGAAGGGGAAGAGAATGCAAAGGAAGAGGAGGAAATTCTCTACCCATAAAGTTATTTTAAAAATACGTAACTATTTTATTAAAATAAAATTTAATTAAAAAATATTTTATATTTTTTAATCAATAGAGTAAATGTCTTGATAATAACAATTAAAATTTCATTAGATCATTTCCTTAAAAAATAATAAATAAAATAGAGGTATTGTTAACAAAATA